TTTTTTTATTACTGCTTTAATTTCCTTGGTAGTTTTCAGCCTATTCAGGTTTTTTTATTCTTCCTGATTGAGTTTTGGAAGATTGTAGCTTTCTAGAAATATGTACATTTTGTCTAGGTTGTCCAGTTTGTTGGAGTACAGTTGTTCGTAGTATTTTTTTTTACAGTCCTTTGTACATCTGTGGGGTTGGTTTTGTTTATTTGGGTCCTCTCTCTTTGTTTATTGGTGAGCCTGGTTAAAGGTTCATCAATCTTGTTTATCCTTTCAAAGAACCAACTCTTGGTTCTATTGATCTTTTGTATTGTTTTTATTTTGTTGTTTTGTTGTTTTGCTTATTTGTTTTTGTCTTTGTTTATTTCCACTCTGATCTTTATTATTTCCTTCCATCTGCTTTCTCTGGGCTTTCTTATTGCTCGCTTTACGATTCTTTAAATTGTAGGGTTAAGTAATTTATTACTAGTTTTTCTTGTTTTTTGAAGTAGGCCTTTTCCACTGATTTTTAGAGAGAGGAAGGAGAAGAGAGAGAGAGAGAGAGAGACAGAGAGACAGAGAGAGAGAGAGACCCACTGGGACTTGGAATTGAACCTGCAACCCACATATATGCCCTTAACCAGGAATCAAACCCAAAATCCTTTGATGCACAAGCTGGTGCTCTAACTACTGAACCACACTGGACAGGGCTGAATATTAACTCTTAATTTGTATAGCAATTCTGAGATAATTAACATTATTACCTCCAGGGAACTGAGGTTAAGTAACTTGCCCAAGATCATACATCTAGTAAGTGATGGAGCCAGAATTCAAATTTAGGCTCCAGGTTCAGGATTAGGTTAAAGAAAGTGATGTGACCAAGGCAAGTGCAAGGTCATATCAATTCTTTAAACATTTTGGGTCAAGGTGGTCAAAAGGTACAAACTTCTAGCTATAAAATAAATAAATCATGGGAGATAATGCACAGCATAGTGACAGTAGTTGATAACACTGTTGTAAGGTTTGAGGCGCAGGAAACTGAAGTCAGAGACCACCAAAACATGTTAAAGTAAAGTTTATTCCCCAGTAATAAGCAGGACTCATTATAGGGGTAGAGAAATCAGAATTGAAGGAGTGGGGAGGGGAGAAAGTACCCAGCCGGGCTGCCCCCATAGATGGCAATGGAGAGAAGCAACACAAGGCTGGTCTGGGGATCTTTTTAAGGGGAGGAACAGGAGAGGGTTGGACCCAGGGTGGAACAGGAAGGGGTGGGCTCCAGGGCACTTTGGCATGTGCTGATTGGTGGTTCAATGTCTTGGGGGATGTCTCTGTGGCAGATGCCAGTAATATCATAACTCCGCCCACCAGTTGGGAGGAGGGAGAATCTCACAACTGTATTGTATATTTGAAAGTTTCTAAGACAGTAGATCTTTAATATTCTTATCACAAGAAAAAAAATTAGTTAAAAAGAGAGAGAGAGAAAAAGAGAGAGAGAGAGAGAGAGAGAGAGAGAGAGAGAGAGAGAGAGAGAGAGAGAGAAACCCCATAAAAACCATTTTGATATTTTGTTCATCCTGCACATTTTGGGGCAATAATTTATCAGCTTTTTTAAATATTACACCAGCCTTGGCTGGTTTGGCTCAGTGGATAGAACATTGGCCTGTGGACCAAAGGGTCCTTCCTGGGTTCGATGCCATTTCGGAGCACTTACCTTGGTTTCAGGCTCCTCCCTGGCCCGGTCTCTGGTCAGGGCTCCTGCAGGTGGCAACCAATCAATATTTCTCTCACATCAATGTTTCTCTCTGTCTTTCCCTCTCTCTTCTACTCTCCCTAAAAATCAATGGGGAAAAAATATCCTTGGGTGATAATAAATAAATAAATAAAAATATTACCCTAGAATATTATTTTATTTGATCACTGCTTTTGCACCTGAGTGTCACTCACCTCGCCCTGCTAGGTTGGCTGGCTTTAGAATCTAATCTTTCAGCCTCTAAGTCATATAAGCCCTTACCCTGGAAAAATGGGGAAAATCCAAATTCTTCCAGTCCTAGAGAGGAGATAGAGATGGGTTAGGGGAAAATGGTGCTAAAATGGGGTGTCCAGATGCCCCCTCTCCTGGCTGAAATCCAAGTGGGAGGCATGACATTAGTTAAGGGAGAGGGGCTGTGGTGAAGGGGCCTTTGTCTCCTTCCTGTTCAGAACCCTACAAAAAAGAACACCAAGGGGCATAGTTCTCTGGCCAGTGGGAATATCCATAACAAAGGAGGAGTGAAGGAGCCCCAGGTTGGCACCTTCGAGCTATTCTCACTTCTCAGGATCAGGGGTGGATGTGAATGGTTCTGAGTGGCCCTTGGGCAGAGCAAAGGGGAGCTAAAAATAAACCCTTCAAGAGGAAAGTGATCTTACCTCTTGTGTTCAGATAGCTCCCCAGGGCTTCTCCTCTCGGTTCCCTCCCTTGTACTGTCCCCAGGCATCCCTGACTCCTCAGAAGTGGTGAAGGGACAGTGAAGGGATGTTGTTGACCAGGGAGAGAAAAGGTCACGTCATCCCTTCTCTGCAGCTCTGGTTTCAGAACCCCCACCCTTCACAGAACTACACAGTGTAGGGAACTATTGATCGATGGAGCCACCCAGGGTCATTGACCCTATCATACAAAACTGGGGGAAAACCCAGGCTGTGGTTATTATCAAATGTGTCATAAAAGGAGACACCTGCTAGGTGTTTGGCCAGAGCTTTCATCTTTACTAACAAATGATTGGGGGGGAGTGGGTGGGGGAGGGGGTTCTGTCTTTATTATTACAGATTACACTACACTGAATTTTTATGTTGTGACATCTGTGTTTGTGACAACATGCAAGTGCACTGACAAAATAAACTTGAGGTAAAATTGCTGGGTGGAAGGAGATGCATATTTTGGTATCAATTCATTTCCCCTAACTGTACCTCCAAATGGATCCATTTCAAATCCCAGCCTCCAATGCTCTTTCCAATTCTCTGAATAAAAATGAGACTGTGTTCCAATGCATTTGCCTTGCTTTTTATAACCTGGCTGCCCACATTTGTTTTGTTTTTCTAAGGGATACTAGTCACTTCTTTGTGGCTTACTTTTTAAGTTATGTACTGGTAAATCTTAAGAAAGTCAGTCTTGGCTGATCATGGCTCTATTTTTAGCTTCTGTTGGCAGGGGCAATCCTTGGCATTCCTCAACTTGTAGATGCATCTCTCCAATCTGCCTAATGTCACATGGCCATCTGCCTCTGTCTCAGTGTATCCTCTTCTTTTCCTATAAAGACACCAGTCATTGGATTTAGGACCCACCCTAATGCATTATTGTGAGTGCCCCACACATTGTTCAGGCTTCAGGCTCTGGAGGAGGCCACACACAAATGAAAGAGACTAGACAAGAAAATATTAATTTGGGAATTGGGGGCCAGGCAGAAGCCCAGAAAAGGACTCTGCTTTGCTTTGGCCTTGTGATCCCTTTTATTCAGGTTTGGGATCCACTATAGCCCTTAGACAAGCAATTCCAATAATAACTTGATGATAGCCCATCAGCAAGAATTTACATAAGAATAAACAGTGCAAGTTACTTCAGCTACCTTTGCCTCAACTATAATAGACAGTGGGTTTATGGCTCGGACCCTTGCCAAGAGCTTCAAGGTTGACCAGCCTTCCAGGTTCCTTGTCCACCTCTTTCTGCTAGTGAAGGCAATGGGCAGCTTCCAACACATTATGACCTCATTTTGGCCTAATTACACCTGCAAAGACCCCATTGCCAAATGAAATCACACACCAAGGTTCTGGAGAGATACAAATTAGAAGAGGCAGGCACTATTCAACACACTACAGCCATCAAAAACAGGTTGACTTGCCCTGGCCAATGTTGCTCCATGGTTAGAATGTTGGCCCATGCACCAAAGGTTCAATTCCTAGTCAAGGGCATGTAGCTGGGTTGCAGGTTCCATTTGCAGCGCATTTGGGAGGCAATAATGTGTCTCTTTCACATCAATACTTCTCTCTCTCTCTCTCTCTCTTTCTCTCTCTCTCTCTCTCTCTATCTCTCTCTCTTTCTTTCTCTCTCTCTCTCTCTCTCTCTTTCTCTCTCTCTCTCTCTCTCACACACACACACACACATACATACACTCCCTCTCTCTCTCTCCCTCTTTCCCTTCCTCCTTTCCACTCTCTATAAAAATTAATAGAAAAAAAAATATCCTTAATGCCCAGCCAGCGTGGCTCAGGGGTTGAGCATCAACCTATAAACCAGGAAGTTCGATTCCCGGTCAGGGCATATCCCTAGTAGGTGGTGTGCAGGAGGCAGCCAATCAATGATTCTCTCTCATCATTGATGTTTCTATCTCTCTCACACACTCTCCCTTCCTCTCTGAAATCAATAAAAATATTTTTTTATTTTTTTAATATTTTTTAAATATATATCCTCTGGTGAGGATTAACAAGAACAGGTGGACTCCAAGGACCAAGGGGAAGAGAGAACTGAAGGGCCATGTGGGGTGTTTGTAAGATCAAGACAGGAAGGGACAATTCATCTCCTTCTACTCTCTTCTTATTGGGCAGGTGAGCCATATGGTCCCATCAGGTGTGGCCCCACTATGTGCCAGAAAGGCCGGGAAGATGGAGAGGAACACATGGCTCAACTCCCCACTATCTGGATGCTTGCTGTGCCCCAGTGCCCAGCACAGAATCTGGTCTATAGTAGATACTCCAGAAAAGGTGTGTAGAGTGAGTGAGTGAGTGAGTGAGTGAGTGAGTGAGTGAATGGAAGGTAAGCATGGAGAGTGAGCAAGGGAAGATGGAAAACAGGCAATTCCCTGGTCCAAGGGAGCTTCAGAAGCGGGGAGTTCCTGCACTGGGAGAACTTGAGACCTGCCCCTTGGCTGGGGATTCCCCCAGAGGGGCGTGGCGAGAGGCCTTGGTAAGTAGTGGCAGGTCCGGCCCTCTGAGCTTCCAGTGCTATAATTCATTTCCCCTAGAGCGAGGCACCACCACTCAAGCAGAAGCCCACCACGGAGATGGCGGAGGAGGGTTGTGCCCGCCGGCTGTGCCACCTGCTCATGTCGCCTGTTCTGCGGGTGGCTTTGCCGCTGTCTCTCCTTGGTCTGGTGATCTACGTGCTCTGCTGCCAGCACCCGCCGCAGCAGCACCTGCTCCAGCCATCTGAGGTAATCGAGAACGAAAAAGATTCACACCAGTGAATTTGCTGGACCGCTTGGGGACCTCCGGGTGGCCCCCGGCATGGCTTGGCAGGGTGTGGAGGGCAGATGGGCAACCCGGAAGAGAATCAGAGGCTGCCCACGGGTCTGGGCTCCTGCCTGCAAGAAGGTGAATCCCATGTGGGGATCCCACGGTGGTTGACTGCATCTGGGAAAGGTACATGGGACCTGTTGCAGACAGTGAATGACTGGCTTTGGTGTTCCCCCAGCAGGCTGACTCAGAGGCTGCTGGGGGCTTCACAAAGCTGGAAGGGATGGTTAGGGTGGGGGGCAGGCAAGGACAGGAGGAACCCCACCTGTTCACCTAAGAGCCCAGCATGCCCACCATAGGGATGGGCAGGGGGCTCTGCAGTGGAGAGGGGTAGCTACGCATCCCACCTCCCTCTCGCATCATGTCCAGGAAACTCAAGTTCTTGAAGGTTTGTTTCTTATGCTCCAGGATGATTCTCACATACTTCCTCTTTATGGGGTTGTGTGCGTGCTTTCATAAAATTCACAAGTCAGCCCCTTGAGGTAAAGGGAAAAGAGCAGTGCAAAGAGGGGCTCTGATTGCCCCATTTTCTCTTTTCTTCCAGTGGGATGTAGCTGAGCTCCAGCTGAATCACACAAGTGAACGGGGTAAATAAAGTGTGAGTGTGTCTCTGTGTGAGTGTGTGTCTCTGTGTGAGTGTGTGTGTGTGTGTGTGTGTGTGTGTGTAAGAGAGAGAAAGAGAATATGAGAAAGGGAGAGAGAGAAGAAGGAAGGAGGGAGGGAGAGAGAGGGGGGAGAAAACAAAGGAAAGAACGGAGAAAGAAAGAAAGAAAGAAAGAAAGAAAGAAAGAAAGAAAGAAAGAAAGAAAGAAAGAAAGAAAGAAAGAAAGAAAGAAAAGAAAGAACCACCAAGAGAAAGGGAAAGAAAAAAAATAGAGGAGAGAGAAATAAGAAATAGAAAGGGAGAGGAAAAAAAAGAATGAGAATGAGAAAGAAAGAATGAAAGAGAAGGAGAGAGACAGGGCAGTGTGATCCTGGGTGTATGCTTTCTCTCTTCACATTTTACCTTCTGCCATGAGAGAACCCAAAACAACTAAAACCCACTAACAGCAGTTGCTGATATTCCTTCCTTCGGTCCACAAATGGCTGAGCACCTGCTGTGGGCCAGGCACTGTCTGTGTGCCACCATAAAGAAGAAAAAAGATTAAAAAAAAAAAAAAAAACACTCTGTTTTTTCTTCTACTCCAGAAAAGGATAGAGCGTGTCAAAGAAAGCACAGGGAGGATGTTTTAACGAAAAATCAAGTGGGGGGTGGGGGAGGATCAGGACATGAGCGAGGGAGTTGCTGGGTGGTTTCCTCACACCCTCTCTCTAACCCTCCTCCTGCCGTCCCCAGCGTCTTGAGGGCTGTATTCATTCCATTCTGTGGTGCAGGAACCCCTCTTCCTTTTCAGTCAGGCCATTTGCTGTCCAGGCTATAATAAGAGGACACCACACATTTACGTTTCATTAGCTGTGCCCTCCCTCACTTGGTGGACTCGGGTCTCTTCTCCATCTAAATCGGATATCATTGACATGTAACATATTAGTTCCGGGTGTACACCATCTAGACTAATAAAAGGGTAATATGCTAATTAGACTGAGAGACATTCCAGACATTCTTCTGGACAAAGCCATGGTAGCAGGGGGGGAAGGGGAGAGGCCAAGGTAGAAGCAGTTAGGGGCCAAGAGGGGAGGGAAGTTGTGGGTGATCAGATTAGGATGGGATGGCAGTTGCGGGTTATCAGACCTGTGGAGGTGGGATAGGGGAGGGATTAGCAGGCCGGCAGAGGTGAAGTTGGGAGCCAGCAAGCCAGTAGACAGAGTGGTTAGGGGCAATCAGGCAGGCAGGCAGTTGAGCGGTTGGGAGCCAGCAGTCCCAGCTTGCGAGAGGGGTCCCAGATTGAAGAGGGTGCAAGCTGAGCTGAGGGACACCATCCTCTCATGCACAAATTTTGTGCACCAGGCCATTAGTATTTGTATATGTTGTGATATGATCACCAAACTAAGTCTAGTTAATATCCATCACCTCACATAGTTACCAATTGTTTTTCTTGTGATGAGAACTTTTAAGATCTACTCTCTTAGCATTTATTTTTAAAATATATTTTAATGATTTTTTTTTTACAGAAAGGAAAGGAGAGGGATGGAAAGCTAGAAACATGGATGAGAGAGAAACATCAATCAGCTGCCTCCCGCACTCCCCTCCCCGAATTGGGAATGTGCCCTCAACCAAGGTACATGCCCTTGATGGGGATCAAACCTGGGACCCTTCAGTCCGCAGGCCAATACTCTATCCACTGAGCCAAATTTAGCAATTTTTAAATATACAATACAGTATTACTATATAAAAACTAGAGGCCCAGTGCACAAATTCATGCACCAGTGGGGTCCCTCGGCCTGGTCTGTGGGATCAGGCCAAAACCAGCTCTCTGATATCACCTGAGGGGTCCTGGATTGCGAGAGGGTGCAAGCCAGGCTGAGGAACGCCACTGGTGTATGATTGGGGCCAGGGAGGGACTTGGGAGGTTGACTTGCCAGGGAGGGCCCGAGGGAGAGCTCCAGGGCATGTCTGGCCAGTCTTGCTCAGTCCCAATCAGCTGGACCCCAGTAGCAAGCTAACCTACCAGTTGGAGTGTCTGCCTCCTGGTGGTCAGTGCACATCATAGCATGCAATTGAGTGGCCTTAGCATATTACAATTTGATTGGTTGAACGAATGACCAGACACTTAGCATATTAAGCTTTTATTATATAGTATATGTACATAGTTGCCATGCTGTAATAAGATCCCTAGGACATTTTTATAATTGGAAGTTTGTACCTTTTAACTACCTTCCCTCATTTTGCACTCCCACCTCTGGCAACCACCAATTTATGAGTTCATTGTGTTTTTGTTTGTTTGTTTATTTTTAGATTCCATGTATAAGTGAGGTTGTATGATATTTGTCTTTCTCTGTCTAGCTCGTTTTAATTAGCATAATGCCTTCCATCCATGTTGCCTCAAATGACAGGATTTTCTTCTCTTTTATGGAATAATAATATTTCTGTGTGTGTGTGTGTGTGTGTGTGTGTGTGTGTGTGTGATGTTTAATCCACTCATCCATCAATAAGTGCCCATTCAGGAAGGCTGTACCCTCATGACCTAATCACTCCCAAAGGCCCCACCTCCTAAAATCATAACCTTGAGAATTAGGTGTCAACATAAAAAATTTTGGACATCCTGTCCACAGCCCTCATTTTCCCTAAACTGCCATCCTTCCACCCCCAACCCTCTGCCTCCAGGACTGCGGCAGGACCCCCGGCTGCACTGGCAGGGGGATCCAGCCCTGGGCCGCTCCTTCCTGCATGGGCCACAGCTGGACAACGGGCAGCTGCGTGTCCAGCGTGATGGCATCTACAGACTGCACATCCAGGTGACACTAACCAACTGCTCCTCCTCCGTGAAGAACACTGTGCCCCGTAGGGCCACCCTGGCAGTGGGCATCTGCTCTCCAGCGGGGCGCAGCATTAGCCTGCTTCGCCTCAACTTCCATCTCAGCTGCACTGTCTCCTCCCAGCGCCTGACCTACCTGGCCCACGGGGACACTCTCTGCACCAACCTCACTCTGCCACTGCTGCCATCCCAAAATTTGGATGAGACCTTTTTTGGGGTTCAGTGGGTGCACCCCTGACTGCTATACCTCCTCACTCAGATTTTGGGGAGATCAGAAATGGGCTTTTTAGGTCTCTTCACTACATTTCACTTGTGTGGTGACTACATTTTTTTTTTTCTCCCCTCCGGGTAGGCAGGAAGAAGCCCTTTAAAATCATCACGGGGTGCTGGAGCCATTCGGGCTCAGCTCCCTGGTGTGGGGACGCCTGAATCAATTCATAGTCCCTCACCAGCCTGGCTTCATGCACTCCACCTTCAGAGACCTAACACTGGGGGGTTTTTTTCCGTTTATTGTTTAATACACTATTAAATATGATTTATAATAAAACTATATATGTGGCTGCATGGTTCTTTCTCTCCTTAGCACTAACTCTATACCGGAAGGCCTCTTCATTACACAAACACATGGTGCCCCACCCTCCTCGGGGCAAGCCCAGACACGTTTCGGCTTTCTTTCGAAAGACATCATCTGGACTCTCTGGCTAATATATAGGCTGAAACTAACACAGGAAACATCCTATCGTATTTGGTGCTTGCCCAACATCAATTTTATTCTATTGGTTTATGTTCTAACGGTTGTTTTTTCGGGGGGAGGGGGCAGGGGGAAGCATGTTTCAGAATAAGAGCAGTCGCTTTTCATTGACTGGCAGGTGGCAATTGGGGTTTTTGTTTTGTTTTTGTTTTGTTTTGTTTTGTTTTGTTTTGTTTTGAATAAACTATGGATGAATTTCTTTCTTCCTGCTCTGCAAATTGAGATAGATGGTATTGTCACATTTCTCCCTTCATATCAAGAGCTTTCTTTGAAAACATCCGTGGTCAGTGTCTGGTTATTTATTTATCTACTTGTCACCTGCTTTTCTTCCTTTCCGTGTGCCTTGGAGCCAGGAAGGACCTTTCCCAAGAATCATGACCCACAAGGAGAGGGCAGGGGGTGATTGGCAACCATAGAGGCCACATTTGAGCAACAAGAAAGGTAGAAAAAGGGGCTCACAGGCATTTTCTAGTTTACGTTTGTATTTTGTCTAAGTGTAAGCATCAAAAGTCATCTTGAAGCACTGAGCTATCATCACTCTATTTTTTAAAAAAAAATTTTAATCCTCACCGGAGAATACTTTTTCCATTTAAATTTTTTTATTTTTTAAATTTATTTATTTATTTATTTTTAGAGAGAGAGTGGAAGAGATAGGGAAACACAAAAACACCAAAGCAAGAGAAACACATTGATTGGTTGCCTCCTGCACACGCCCCAACCATGGCCTGGGCTGGGGAGGAACCTGCAAGTGAGGTACGTAAGTATGTGCCCTTGACTGGAATCAAACCTGGGTCGCAGACCGACACTCTATCCACTGAGCCAAACTGGCTAAAGCCACCCTACTTTTGTATCAAGTCTGCAGAGACTCAAATGTAATAAGCAAAATTTTTTAAATGATTATGCAAAATAAAATGAAAAGCAATATGCCCATCTGGTGTGGCTCAGTGGATGAGTGTCGACCTATGAACCAGAAGGTCTGGTTCAATTCCATGTTGCAGCACATGTCTGTGTTGCAGGCTCAGTCCTCAGTGGAGGCCATGCAGGAGACAGCCTATCCATGATTCTCTCTCATCATTGATGTTTCTATCTCTCTCTCCCTCTTCATTCCTATCTGAAATCAATAAAAAATATTTTTTTTAATGCAACAAGTAGTGTTTGCATACACCTCCTTGAATAAGAATAAAAGCTATTCTGCTGTCTAGACACATTTTGGCTAAAAAATCGAGTGATCTTTATTGGGTAGCCATTGCTTGGGCACTGGAATCAGCAATGTCTCCTAATGTCAAAGAGAGATTTCTGTGCATATGTTCATTAGTACAGGAAGGGGAAATGCCCTTCCCAGGGGATCGGAGATAGAATCATGTTTTTCCAGGGAGTTCTCTCTCTTTCATCAATGTTTCTAACCTCTCTCTCTAAAGTCAAAAAAAAAAAAAAGTATTAAGAGTAGCCAGGCGATGAATATAGGGCTCCCTCCTAAGTATTAATATTCAGCCAAGGCTCAAACACTGTATTACTTCATATCAAAAGATTACCCAGAAATGTGGGTCTGACAGCAAGTCAGCAAATGGTCCAAATGGTCTGATTTACGTTGGCTGCTCTCTCTATATATATATATTTGAGATGGGTCTTGGTTTCTCATTCCAATGTTGGGTTAAATTGAAGCAAAAGACAGGGATATGTGGATTTAGTTCTCTAAACTTATAAGAGGAACCTACAGAAAAGTTTAGGTATGCATTGGCACTTGGGATTCTAGCAAAATTACTTACAAGGCAAATTAAGGGGTCATTATTGTCATGGACTGAAAGATGTTTTGGGTAGGCTAGATTCTCTCTGTATGTACCAGCACCTGTTTGCTCAGCAGCCTCAGAATGATTTGGGGATCTTCTTTGGATTCCAGTTCTAATAATCAAGTAATATTAACCTTAAACTGAATAAAAAGCAATTGTATTTAAGAAAAGCAAAATACTGCCCTAACTGGTTTGACTCAGTGGATAGAGCATTGGTCTGTGGACTGAAAGGTCCCAGGTTCGATTCCAGTTAAGGCCATGTACCTTGGTTGCAGGCACATCCCCAGCAGCTGATTGATGTTTCTCTTTCATCGATGTTTCTAACTTTCTATCCCTCTCTCTTCCTCTGTAAAAAAAATCAATAAAATATATTTTTTTAAATGAAAAAAAAATAAAATAAAATAAGTTGACTCTTAAAAGAGTCTGGGTACATAGAAGTGCATTTTGTCAGAGCCTCCTTGAATTTGTCCATGAAGACCAAGGGATTATCATCCTCCCCTTAGTCTGTAGTTGACAATTTAGAGTCGTTCAAGATCTTGGAGGGGCACCTCATTAAGTCTTGAATCTCACAAACCTGGAAATGTTTTCTATTCTAATCTGCTCGCTTATCAGCAAGCCATTTAAGGTCTTTCTGGACAATAGGGTAGTGATCAATCTGATCATGGGGGACCCCACTGGCATTTGCTAAGTTATATTCATCTCCAAACTGCTGAGTTGTATCTACTAGGATTGACCACTACTCTGATTCCGAGAGTGTCGACTCAAAAGAAGCATTACATCCTTCATTGATCTATCAAAGGTTTATTTCAGTCCCTGAAAAACATCTATGCACTTGTCAAGGTCATCTGAAAAACTTTCCTAAATCTATCTTAGTTTGTAGGTAAAACAATACCTGGACCAAGGTAGATCCGAATTCCCCCCCTGACACTGCCTGGAGAGGGCAAAGGATAGCTGGGGACCTGGATGACCAAGTCCCCTTGGGCCTAGGTGGGACTGGTCCTGCCAGTGGTCCTGGATAAGGAGGACAAGATAGCTCAAATGCATTTGGTGGGCCACTAAGCCCTGTCAACTCCTTAGGGATTTCTGACTCTCTGGTCAATGCTGCCTGGAAAACAGGGATTGATTTTATGCTGCTGACACAATTTCTGATTGTCTCTTAAGGCAAAGAAGGCCTGAACATACAAAACCTCAGACCACTTCCCTTCCTTCATACAGAAAAGATCTACTGGCAAGATTAGGGATCATGTCTCTGTTTCTGCAAGCTTATATTGAGGCAAAGCTTGAGTACAAAAGAAGATCATGCACTTTCTCTTCAGGGTTTGTGGATCCAAAGAAACCCAGTTCCTCAGGATACAATCTAGGGAGGGAGAGGGGGATGCTGATCTTGGTGGTAGATGAGGAGTACCCCATCTGAAAAGGCAAAACGAACAGGAAGCAGCCAGTGCCATCTTGTCTGGGCCCTCCTAAAATGTCTGCTGTGTAGGACAAGATGAAGATTGCCTGCTACATGTGCTTACCAGGATGATCCTGTCTGATTTAAGACTCTACTGCTGTGTGCCCATAAGCGTGACCATATGTAAGTGCCTGTGAGACTAATCATGCTTACCAAAGAGGCCTCCTGTATTGTTTGTGCTCACATGTGCATGACTAATCAGGGGCTTCTTAACAGGTCGGAGTGAGATCACTCCTGAGCTGGCACTGCCAGGAGAGGACATGTCGCAGGAGTCACCTTGGTTGGCATCCCATGGGGAAGAGATTCACTGGGCCATTAAAGGCATCTCTGAGGCTGCCTTGGCTGCCCACCACTGCATGACATCCTGCCCAACCCACAGCTGCCTCAGAAGCTCCAGGTTGAGCTGCCGCAGCTACACCAGGTCCTTGGTCTCCACCATCCCAGGCATATCGTCTGCCTTCCCATAGCCCACGTCGGATGTCGCTGACTCCCGGCTATAGAGTGCCCTCAGGGTTGAGTTCCAGACCCTGCTCTGCTACCAGGCTCCTGAAGAACGCCTTCCTCTCTCCTGTCCATTCTTCCTGTTTCCTTTCAGTAAAATTCATCTTTCCCTTCTCTGGCCCAAACCCTGTGGGGGCACATGCTCAGCCTTCAACCGAGCCCTTCCCCCACCCCCACCCTGTCCCTGGCCTAGCTGCTCTTGACTTTTTCCTTTTTAATATACTGGAAAAGGATTAAACAAATTCAGTGTTAGCTTACTTTAGATTAATTTATCTAATTAAATGTATTATTCAGGAGCTTACCTTCAATTGTCCTTGGGTGTGGTCAGTAAATGGCACTAGTTGGATTTCTGCTATCCGTCTCCCTGAGTAGGATAATTTTAGCTATTTACCTTCTGGCTGGAGAGGAATAATGCAAATCACTTACTCTATGACCTTGGTTTAGGGAAGATAGGATTTTCTAGTTGGCTGCAGACCGCTAAATGTTATAGGCCAAAGGTCGCCAACTGGTGATCCTCGGACCACTGGTGGTCCATGAGGTCTGAAAGGTTGGCGACTGCTATTATAGGCACTTCTCACCGGTACCAGAGAGGTGTTATCAAACAGCCCCCTGAGTCAGTGGGAAAGGGCTGTTCCCAATCTCAATCTTTATCTTCTCACATAAATGAATTTGTATGAGAGACCTTGACTGTATTTTAAAAAGCCAATTTAAAAAGTAAAGCAAATTAACCTATACATCCAGCTTAT